TTTTTTTTTTTTTTAAACCAGGGTCCTATTACATTCAGGCTGGCCTCAAATTTGCAGCAAACGTCTTGCCACCTGTCTTGCCACCTGAGTGCTGGGACTACAGGCACACTCTACCATGGCTGGCTGAAATCAAAATTTTCCATGAAAGAACTAAAGACTATTTAAGGTTCACTGAATAACTGTCTAGGGGCTCATAATTTAGTGAAATTGCCAAACTGGAACCCAGATCCCCTTAATCCTAGAACTACCTCCTTGATCACACTAGATTACTTCCTTAAAGAGTCTGTGCAGAAAACAGAAAATTGCAATTTGAAGACCAAACTACCAGTTGTTGAAATGTCAAAGGAATGGTACTTCTTACCTGTTAGGGCAGAGACAAAAACAAACCACAACACATCCCTACAATTGCCCTTGCAGTCACTGTGATGTGAGTTCTAAACCCTACCATTACACCTGTTAAATACAAGGACATTTTTCAATTTCCCAGAAACCTGACTTGTAATTTGTTCCCCAGAAATTACAGCAGACAGTCTGTAAGAGCTCACTTACCCAGAAAGCACTGCATGCTGCCCCAGACAGTCCACAGACATGGCAGTCGCCTGTGAGAGAGAACACAGAGTCAGTACCACCAGCAAGTCCAGCCAGGGCGCAGAAAACAGACGCTCCTCTTGCTCTTTCTTGCCCCTCATCCAAGAAGTCCCCAATTAGAGAGCACTGATAGTATAGTTCCTCACAGTAGATACTTTCACACTTCTCAAGGTCTCCCCCAAATCCCACACTCAGCCCAAAAGCAGATCTGTTACCCCCACACAAGGACAAGCTGGCACACAATAAAGTGAGGAGACAAAAGTTCTAGAGCCCTCTTAGAAGTCTGAGCAGCACAGAGCAACTAGGCACAAAGAGCCTTCTCAAAGGGGACAGGGACACTGCTTCCGCCTCCAGCACACCCACACCAAAAACATGCAAAAGGCATGTTCTCCACATGCAATATGAAATCTCCAACCAACACATCTCCTAGGTCTCTAAGTTTCCAGTAAACGACATTATTTCAGGATCCAACGTCTACCTCCCAAAAGGCTACACTGGCCGGGTGTGGTGGCACATGCCTACAATCCCGGAACTCAGGCGGCTGGGAATTGCCATGAGTTAGAGGCCAGACTGGACTACACAGTGAGCTCAAAGCTAGCCTGAATTACACAGTGAGACCCTGCTTCAAAAACAAACAGATGGGGGGCTGGGGAGATGGCTCAGTGGAATAAGCACTTCCCTCGACAGTGCAAGAACCTGAGATCAATCCCAGGCTCCACCCAAAAAAACAAACAAACAGAAAACCAGATAAATACACAAACCTCCAGAAGGCTGCACTGGGCCTAATGAATCTACATTCAAGCTGAAGCAAAAGGCTTCTAACTCTGGCAGTTATAGCCCTAAATTCTTTTATTAGGACAAGTTCAAATCTGTGTCACTCTTGTGACTTTAACATGCAACAGCTACTGTCTGGTTACGCAGGGCTACAATGCCTTCCAACAGCACAGACAAAATTGATTTTGTACCTGCTGACACAATCACAATCATGCACAATAAACAGAAATCCTCTCCCTCTCCCTTACCCTCCCTGGCCTCACAAATGGGTTTTTCATAATTGTTCACTGCCCTCAAAAAATATGTCAAAGGTAATACTGGGGACAACAAGCCAGGGTGCTCTTCCAAGAGGCTGAAAAGTGATTAATATGCATCCTTCATGAGACCAGAGTCACGAGCAGAGAAAAGCCCAGCTGGAAAGGCAGGCTGTGAAATGAGATGCCATTTCCAGAACTTTACTGTGTAATTTCTAGATTAATGTTGTGAAGGAGGGAGACATGGGGGTAGACTTGGTGATACAGGCCTGTAATCCCAGCACCCTGGGAGCTGAAGCAAAGGATTCCTAGCTCAAACCTGGCCTAAGCAACTCAGTGAAATCTGGCTCAAAATTGTTTTAAAAAGCTGGGCACGGTGTTGCACACCTGTAATCTCAGTACCTGGGAGGCTGATGCAGGAGGACTACTGCAAGTTTGAGGCCAGCCTGGGTTACAAAGTGAGTTCAAGGCCAACCTGAACCACACTGTGAAAGCTTGTCTCAAAAAGACAAAATTGGGCTGGGGAAACAGCTCAGTGGAGTAAGTGCTTGCGTGGCAAGTGCAAGGTCCTGAGTTCAATCCCTGGTACCACCAAAATAAATAAATTAATGAATAAATTAATTAATTTTAAAGAAGAGGCTAAGGATATAGCTCAAGGCAAAGGCCCTAGGTTCAATGCCTAGTTCTGCAAAGGAAGGAAGCAAGCAAGCAAGGAAGGAAGGAAAGAAGGAAGGGAAGGTTGGTTTCTCTAAAGAAGCAATGTAATCTTGGGACGCTAAATGGTAGGCAGACCTAAAATGTGGCCCAAGATTCCAGGCCTTTGGTGTACACACACCTTTCCCTCCCACTCATCTCTAATAAAGACGAATCCAGGTAATGCTGTGCAGTGATCTCACCAATGAAATGAAGATTGCAAATTAACTGGCTTAAAATAGAGAAATCTGAAACATTCCAACTGCCCATCCATGGAAGGGACAAATGAAGTGTGTGTGCTATAAACACACAATGGAATTTCATTCAGCCTTTAAAGGGAAAGAAATCCCAAAGTGCTCGCACATAAATGAACCTTAACACAGTATGCAAAGTGAAACACACTAGACTGAAAAACACAATACTGCCTGTCTCCACCTAAATAAAGCAGGCAAGTTCAGAGAAGAAGAGAACTGAGACGCAGAGGTTAGGCAGGGGGAGCAGAGAATGAGGAGTTACTGTTCAAACAGTAGGGCAGAGACTTCCTATTTGGGATGATGAAAGGTTCTCTGGGGAAAGGGAAGACTGAGAGACTTTCATTAATTTTACTGGTACATTTTATTTGTTTTTTGGTTTTTTTTTTTTGCTCCGAATGCCTTCAGGGCAGGTTTGGCTGGCTTGAGTTGTGGGGATGGAACCACAGCAACCTGAGCCTGACTACTTTGTTGAAGCAGCCACTTAAAGAACTGAGCTAAGGGGCGGGCCCCTACTGGCACATTTTAGATATACATAATGACAGTATCACACAGACTCTGTCCCTGTACATGATACATCTTGCTGCTTCTCTTTTTCCCATTCCTCCCTTCAACCCCTCTTCCCCTCCTTATTTACAAAAGCTTTGTTTGCATTTTTCCCTTCTACTCTCTTTAGTTCCAGTTTCCTTCCTTTCCTCTTAACCCAGTTCCCCTTTGAACATGTTGGTACTTGACATTATTATAGATTTAGTCCTTATTTATGCTTTCAGCTTTTCACATCAGAGAAACTGAGACACTTGAACATGTGTAACAGTTATTTCATTGAAGAGTATGGGAGAGGCCTAACCTTACCAATCACTTCAATCTAGGTCTAGAAATAAAAAAACTGGGATATTGAGGGGTTCACCATGAGACTTTCCACTGCTATCTGTAAGCGCAAAAGGGGACACCTGGCCTGAACCTGAAGGGGACACGTGGCCTCTAGGGGTGGACAGCAAGTCCTCAGCCCACAACAACACCCAGCAAGGAAACAGCTCAGTCCTACAACCCTAGGGAGTTGGATTTAGCCAAGCACCCAGAAGTATTCTTCTTCAGTGAGACTTTTGGGAGACAACGGAGCCAAGTGCTGCCTTGATTCTGGCCTGTGAGATACTCAGCAGTGTCCGGCCTTCTGACCAATACAACTGTGAGCTAATAAAAAGGTTACTTTTAAGATGCTAAGCTTGTGGTACACACTGATACACTACTAACGAAGTGTGACCTGGCAATGGCCCCAAAATGTCATGCCCTTTGATTTAGTAATTCTAACTCCAGAATCTAAGCAAAATACAGCAAAAGTTGTAGGCACAGGACCGGGGATACAGCTCAGTGGCACAGTGCCTACTAGGCAAGTACGAGGTCATGAGTTCGATTCCCAGTACCAAGACAAAAAGTTGCAAACGCAAAGCTGCTTATCTCATGCACAGGCAAACTATGTATTACTATAGTATTTTTAAAGTGGTAGTATTTTTAAAATGATGTTAACTGTGAAAAACTGTAATCCCAGCATTCCCAGAGGCTGAGCCAGGAGGTTCACAAGTTCAAGTTCAGCCTGTCTTGGTGATTCAGCAAGAATATGGCTCAAAAATAAAAGTACAAAAGAGCAGAGAATGTAGGTCAGTGTGCTTAGAGATGCTAAGAGGCAATTTGAGAGTGATGGGATTGCAGGTTTCCAGCTTGGTCCCACACCGAGAGAAGGCGGCAACCTATACTGCAGTGACTAAGAGGATTTCTTTCGGGTGGTAGGAAGGAGCTCCCTGAAGCTTACAAACAAGCTAGAAAGGTAAATGACAGTGGCACTGTACACCCTACCACGGACTAAACTTAAATGGGCTCCTTATAAGTATACTGTCGGGTGTGATGGTGCACACCTCTAATCTCAGCTACATAGGAGGCTGAAGCAGAAGGACAAGTTTGAAGTCAACCCAGGCAATTTAACAAGACCCAGTCTCGAAGATACAAGGTACCATGCCTGGTGGTATACACCTGTAATCTCAGTACCCAGGAGGCTGAGTCAGGAGGATGGCCACAAGGTCAAGTCCAGTACGGGCTACACAAAGACTTCAAGGCCAGCCTGAACTTCACAGCCAAACTCTAACTCAAAAATCTAACAATAAATAAATACATAAATAGGTCTAGGGGTGTAGCTCAGTGGTACAGTGCCCCGGGTTTGATCTTCAGTATGGGTGTCACATCTATTTTTCAATGTTCAGTTTTTTACTAGTATAAGCCTGCAGTAATACTGACTTTTACATTCATTGTAGGGAGTTGGTACATACACATCACACATCTCAAATCTTTTTCATCTTCTAGGGAAGGGATACCACTTCTACTACTCATCAGGTATACAATAACAAGGACAATCCAGCAAAAACTGCCATTAACCTCTTGGATTGTTAAGATGTGTGTGTTTTAGTAGTAATTATACTCGATATTATGACAGAATCACTGCCTGTAAGCAGATGCAGGGGCTGGGAGTTTGATCCCCAGGCCTGCCTTGCTGGCCCTGCCCCCACAGCCGCTGAGTCAGCAACTGAGACTGGGCGTGGTGGCTCACATCGGTAATCCCAGCTCTTGGGAGCCTGTGAACAGGTGGGTTACTGTAAGTCCGATCTAGTAGTGAGACCCTGAACACCCTGTAGACCCTTCCCTAAAATACAAAAAATAAATAAGTAAATAAATGACAGAATCAGATCTAACAAGCACTCCCTAAAACCCCTGGCTCTGTGCTAGGCCTCTGGGGCTTCTCTTAACTTTGGACAATCTTTCCTAGTCTTTCCCTGAAAGCCATTTTCCCCACCCCTGCCTCGTGTCGGGCCTTGGCAGGCACCACTGCGTAGGCCTCAGGCTCCCAGCGGCCTTGCTCCCTGAGTCCCCAGTGTGCCTCCCCAGTCTGCAGCGTCCAGTCCCACAGCCTTAGCGCAGCAGCAGAGACCACTGCTGACCTCTACGCTGCTCAGGCCACAGCCCATGGCGTACCTCTCCTTTCCCCACCCTATC